CTAATGGAAAAAATCGAACCTGCAATGGTTTTTAGGGCCTACAGGCGACGGTTGTAACCGCCACAAAAGACTCTACCGCCTGTTTCTATGCGCATCGGTTATTTTGTCAGGAACTGCCAATTCTTTTTAAACATCACGGTAGTTACGTTACTAACTTAGAACTGCTGCAAATTTGGAATCCTTTATTATCATGTGTGGCGGTTATTAATTAAGAACCACCGCATATCTCAAATATTTTTTTACCGATTATGCGATAATTTTTTTCTTAACAATCACCGAAATTTTAAATAAAATTAAAAATATTTAAAAACGACATTATTAAAATATGTAACAATATATATATCAATCATAAACAGAACAACACAACCGCTATTTTCATACAACTCATGCAAAAAGTCATCCAAACTTCCATTTTTACATGAAAAAAATAAATACATCACATATTGAATTCATATACAAATCCAACCCTCATAATAAATATTTCACTTAATTGTTCTCCTCAATACAACTCTACGTGCACTTGCAAAAGGAGACTAGAATGGTTACCTAATAAAGAAGATTCGAGGAGTTACACAAAATTTATACATGTTCATTGTGCTCTCTATTCGAAAAAGAAAATATATATTGGCGACAGCGAGCTAAAGTTTTCTGGCTTCACGAAGGGGATACATATTCGCTTTGCTTCCATAATAATGCTTTAAAATAGGACAAAAAGACTCACCAAATGCTAAAATAGGACCACTTTTGTACGTTAGCTTTAGTAGGACTCATTTAAGCATGAGTGGACCATTATACCCTTATTTTAAATAAGGAACTGCATTTCATTAAAACAGAGAAAATTCCAACGAAATCCAAATTTGATTTGTGACCGCCACAGAAAATATTTAGGCAAATTGGAGATGCAGTCTCCCACACCACCGTCACCGTATGCCGCCACACCCTCCGGCAGTGCCATCTACCGCCACCCCTCGTCGGCGCCATATGCCAGCGCCGCCTACTGCCGCATCCCGGCTGGTACATCATCACCGCCCAACTGGTGTTACCATCCGTCGCCGCCGTCACAACTCCCTCATTGTCGTCAATGTTAAATCCGGGGCCACCACTCACCGTCGAGCAACGCCGCCGTCACAACTCCAGTATCATAGATGTGCCATTAAGTTGGTAGATTTAGCCTTGTAGATTGATTACAAATCTGCCATTAATATGAAGTTTCAGATATGTTGAAAATTGATAGATTTATCTTGGAAAAACATCATAAACTGTCATACTTTTGGCAAACAAATAAAATACCAACCAAATGTTGAATTTTCTCTTTTAAAAGGAATAAACACTCTAACACAATAAAAAATCAAAATTACGAAGCTAGTGACAAAACATCAGAAAAGTGGATTTACAAAAAATCTTTTCTGCCATAAACGAGAGTCAGTGTGCTCATTTTTGCCATAAACTTGGCAAAATTTTATCCCATCATCCAAAAATCTGGAAAATTGAAATTTATTAAAAATACAGAAGTTTGAAAACGAAAATGCGAAACAGAAGACAAAAAATTAACGAATTGAATGTCAAAACAAAAAATAGAGGAATGGAAGAAAAATCAGAAAAATCAATTTCAAAGCCAAAAAACAAAATAAAAGCAGGAGGAGGAGGATGATGATGAAGAAGAAGGAGAAGGAGAAGTAGGAGGAGGAGAAGGAGAAGAAAAGGAAGAGAAAGAAGAAGAAGAAACCTGACCAAACGGCGGCGTGCGCACAGTGGAGTTGTCGGCAACGTCAGCGGCTATGGATGAAGTCGGCGATGAAATCGATCTAATATGCAGGGCAGAAACAATCAATCGATCTGGTGAGAATTGAGAAGATATGATAGTGCGAAGAGGAGAAGAAATTGATCGATGTGTTATGCGGTGCGAGAGAGAATAAATCCACCCAGATGTGTTTTGCGGTGTGGATCCATCGGATAACAAAGCAGGGGCAGTAATGGAACATGAAATTCCGTATGTTTATAATAGGAGTAATTTGGTGCTATTTGAGAATAAAAACATATGAAGTCCTATTTCTGATTTTTATCCTAGTTTTACTCCTATTTGAAGTAATTTTTGTTGGTTTAATGGAAGAAGATGAGCTCAATGATTATAGAATATTTCTCAAAGTTTTTTTGCGTCGAGTAATGAAGAGGTATTACCTATTGAGGTTGGTAGCAGTTTTCACAGAGTTTCACATGAATAGAACTTAGCTTTATTGAGGCCTATCCGGTCACAAGAGATAAAGTCAGTCATCTTTGACATGCATCCGGATAAGGCACCAAGGTTAGATGGTATGAATCCATCCTTTTTCTAAAAAGTTGGGATATTGTTGGACTCGAGGTTAACAATTTTTGTTCACAAATGTTTGAATCTGGAATAATTCCATGAAGGTCTATAGTGGATAGTATAGTTGTGGCTATTGAGACACCATTTTCTGAAGCATTAGAGAAGGGGTTAAAGAAGGCTTTGTGGAATTGAAACTTAGTATGAGTAAAGCATATAACCAGGTAGATTGGATATTTTTGAGATTATTGCCAACACAGGCAGATTTTGATTGGCGCTATATTAAAAATTATCTTGGAATGTATAACTACAGTAAGCTATTTTATTCAGTTTGTTCGAGAGCTTATCAGGCCTATTAGTCCAACAAGACGGATGTGGTAGGGAGACCCGCTTTCACCTTATGCCTTGCCTTGCTTATCCAAGTTGCAGATGGGTTAAGCACTTTACCAAGAAGAGCGGAGTTAAAGGGAGAATAACATGGGGTAGTTATGTGCAGAGGAGTGTCTCGGGTATCGCACATGTTATTTGTTGATGATAGTTTTCTCTTCTTAAAAGCTACTAAATGAGAATTGGACACACTATAAATTACTCAAAGTCACATATTTCTTTCAATCCAAACATGCGAGAATATACATAGAAATATTTCGGCAACATATTGGGAGTACCAAGAGATGAGCGATGAGTTCTTTACGTGGGATTACCGACTTTGGACGGTAGAGGGAAGAATGCAATCTTGAGTTATCTTCAGGAGCAAATTATGAACCGAATTAAAAATTGGAATAATAGGTTTCTATCCAGAGCAGGATGTGCGGTGCTACTAAAAAATGTAATCCAAGCGATGCCCACATATGCGATAAATGAGTTTTTGTTAACACGGGAGTTATGTGATGAGATAGAGAAACTAATGAACGGATATTGGTGGAAAGGAACAAAGCTAGAAGAGAGAGATATCCGATGGAGATTATGGGGAGGTCTTGTAATCCAAAAGGGGTAGGGGGTTGGGATTCAAGCGGGTAAAAGAGTTTGACATTGTGATGCTCTCGAAACAGGGATGATGATTTTTTCACAAACCCAAACAATTTACTAACAGAGATATTTTCCAGTTTTTCAGGAAACTAGAACGTAGGAAAAAGGAAAACCGAAAACGTGTTTACCAAAAATATTCTGGAAAACTGGAGAAAGAAAAACAGAAAATTGTGTTTATCAAATCGTTTTCGAAAAGCAAAAAAATGAGATATGTCTTTGTTTGTTTTTTTTACTCCAGGGGGGGTCTGGGGGAGGGAGGGTGGAGTAATCAGGGCTGAAAATCACTCCATTGAGTTTCAAACCCTTATGTGCCTAGCGGGTTTCAAACTCGAGACCTCCCACTAGGCACGGTAAGCTCGCAACCAGCTGGGTTGGAATGCTTGGTTATGGGATATGTATTTGTTTTCCATAATGAATTAGAGAAATGACTTCTACTAGTTTTCCAAATTTGGAAAACCTGTGTGATGTATTGTTGCTCCAATGAATTTGCATGCTTACGCCTAGTGTTGGATCCGGTCTCGCTTTGATGTCAGTTCGAGTTCGGTCCAGTCAACGATCCGACCGTCCCTATCTGGTCTGCTCAATGACCCGGTGGTTCGGTCCGGTCATTGACCCGACGGTCCATGTTCGGTCTGTTCGACGACCGAGCAATCCCGATCCAGTCCGGTCGGTGAAAAGACGGTCTGGGTCCGATCGACGACTCGGTTATCCCTTTCTGGTCTGGTCCACGACCCGGTGGTCCCTGTCCTGTCCGGTCAATGACCTCACGGTCCCTATCTGGTCTGATCCATGACAATGTGGTACTTGTTCAGTCTGATCGACGGTCGGGCAGTCCCGGTCTGATATGGTCTAGTCAATGACTCGGCGGTCCTGTCGGTCTCGTCAATGACCCGGTGGTCTCCGTCTTATCCGGTCAACCACCCCGGAGATCCCCATCATGTCTGATCAATGACCCGACGGTCCTCATTATGTCTGGAAAATGACCCGACGATCTGTGTTCGGTCGAGCCGATAACCAGGCGGTCTCGGGCCAGTCCTGTAAACAACTCGACGGTCCTTGTCCGAGCCGGTCAATCACCAGGCGGTTCAGTGTCGGTTTTTTGAAATCGTTTTTAAAGTGAAGAGTTTTAAAAGAGCCGTTGAGTTGTCAACCAATAAGGAAATGAGAAAAGAATTCATCAAACTAACTGTAAAAATCGGTCAGTTTTGATCTCGGCTTACTTATACGTGAGACATAATGCCCTACTTAGGCTGTACTAGGTTCGATTCCGGACTGGGACCATACTTTCGGTCTTTTGGTCAGTCACAGAATCGAGTGAAAAAATTGTATGAACATGTTTTCAGATTTAAAAATTGAAGATAGAAAAACTGTAAAATGAGATCAGAAATTTGGAGAACGGAAAACAGAAATAAAAACCTGAAAATATCTCTGGTTAGTAAACATGCAGATTTTCAATTCTAAAATCTCAACCGTACTTTAACCATGGGACTATGGGAGTTTGGAGAACTTTTTTCTATGTCCAAAGAGTTTGGAGAATTTTTCCAATGTCCAAAAGATGAATATCTCTCAGAAAGGCCAGCCTTCGGCTACTGGGTTAAGATGTCCAATGAATTTTATCAGGCAGCCCATAATACTGCTCGAAATGGGCCTTGAAACACATAAACCCTAAACCCTTTTAACCAGAACCGAAAACTACCCACAGCGGATCAGTCCGAAACTCAAGTAGTGAGAACCAGCTCCACGGTTGCCGCCACTCTGAAGCATGAGACCACCAAGAGGACGTGGCGGCGGAGGGTTCAGGGGGGGCAGAGATGGCGGAGGATTCAGGGGAGGTCGAGACGGTGGCCGCTTTGGCAGAGGAGGAGGCCGTGGCTTCGGCGGTCGCGGTTCTTTTCGAGATGAAGGCCCACCTTCAGAAGTCGTAGGTTGGCTCATATTCCCCCCTTCTCTCTTACTGGAACAGGGCCATGAATGTGCTGATTTTGATATTTAACGATACCTTTGATATGCAGAGGTTTCTACATTTCTGCACGCTTGCGAAGGAGATGCAGTGACGAAGCTAACCAATGAAAAGATTCCGTATTTCAACGCTCCTATTTACCTGCAAAATAAAACACAGATTGGTAAAGTTGATGAGATTTTCGGCCCAATCAATGAGTCGGTGAGCTAAGAACCGTCCTTTTAATGTATATAATGTATACACGTTTCTTCATTTTTACTGTATAATAGAAATTAACGGGATTAATGTTGTGTTTATAGCTGTTCTCCATCAAAATGATGGAAGGAATTATTGCATCATCATATTCTTCAGGTGATAAGTTCTACATAGACCCGGCTAAGCTATTGCCCCTAGCCAAGTTCCTTCCATTACCCAAGTTAGTTTTCTTTCCTAGTTTATATTACAAATTCAGATTGACATTCTTACTTATGGTCCTTCACAATTTTATTTGCTATTGTTAGTTACTCTTTGAGCCCATTTGGTAGCATGAAAATCGGCTGATCTTGCTGAATTTGATGAAGTTCTGGCTGAAGTGGCTGTATTGGCTTATTCTGCTTATTTAAGAAAAAAATATTTCCAAAATATATTTTATTAATAAAATAAATAAAAAATTATATGTAAAAATAGCTAAAATGATATCTACATTAACTTCAACCAATACAGCCAGAAAAGTAACTCCAATCTTTCTTAATCTGCTTATTACACAATTCAATGCGCAAAAATAAAAGTTACGTGTTTGGTAAATAAGTTGGCTGATAAACCTTATAAGCTGAAAACAGTTCTGCCAAATGGCCTCTTGATATTGATAGTTAAGAAATGAATTCATTTATGCATTGTGAAAGTTTTATAATGCCCTATTATAGATTTTCTCTATCATAGATGCTGCAAAGTAATTATGAAAAACATGAGCTGATTTCCGATTGTAAAGAATTGAACTTTAATTCTTTAACTTATTTAAAGAGTAAAGAATAAGACATTACATAAATTATTATTGGAACTTGAAACTTGACACTAACTGAGATTTGAATGAAATTAAATTTGTACTTTGATTTCTAGCTTAAAATTAGAATATTGGCATTGAATGTGAATAACACATAAATTCCAGCTTTATTGTTGTACCAGAGTGTTTTTTGGTATGTTGATTTCTAGCCTAGTGATTTGGGATAGAAAAACATGAGGAGAATACACAGATAACTAGACAGGTGAAGTATATTTAGGAGGGGGAAGCATATTCAATTAGGGAAGTGCATATTTACATTTGAAAATAAAAGACGAGCCCAAGACCTCAAATCTAAGTATGATGCTTATGTGCACTTAAATTATTTTGAAATGTGATTTATTGTGCTGCAAGTAGTTTCCATTTTCCCAGCTATTGTCTTGAAGTGGACTTGCTTGACTTTGTGATGCTTTTTACAGGGGACATCCCCAAGCTGCCCGTGGTGGAGGAGGTGGTGGGAGAGGGAGAGGAGGAAGAGGCCGTGGCGGAGGTGGTGGCTTCCGTGGAAGAGGTGGACCACGTGGACGTGGACCACCAAGGGGCCGTGGTGGTTTTAGAGGCCGAGGTGGAAGAGCATAGAATTGGTGTTTGTATCTTTTATTTACTTCTCCCTTTTAGTTGTTGTGATGCTTATTTTAGCAAAGGTATTGTAGTAGCAATTTGAACATTTCATTCTGTCCTTAAACACAATCTTTTCTCTGTTTCTATTTAAGTCTATGGTTGATAAAACAATGAACATGTGTTATATATGGACTTTTATTCAAGAGTCTTTAAGGATGGACTAAACCGGACCGGGCCGGCCTGGAACCGGCCCAGCCAGCTACTGTGCGGGCCTGGACCGGACCAGTACCGGTTGGCCGGTTCTGGGCTTTTAGCCCGTTTGGGCGGGTCGGGTGGGAACCGAGCCCGGCCCGGGTGGTTCGGGCCGGGCCCGGGTCAATTTTATTTTTTCAATTTTTTTTTCTTTTCCTAGGGTAGGGCTGGTTGTTTTGGGGAGGTTTGGGGGTGGGGGTGAGGGGTGGGGGTCGGGGGATTACAAGAAAGCAAAAAAAATGACATTGAACCGTGCCCGGCCCGGCCCGGTTAGGCCCGGACCCGGTTTCAACCCGGGCCGGTTCCGGGCCCAAGTATTTGCAAAAAAAGCCTGCCCAGGCCCGGAACCGGAACCGGACCGGCCGGGTCCATTCCTAAGTGCATATACTAGAATAGGGATGGATTCGGTTCGGGCCACCCGGCCTGGCCCGTTACTGTGCGGGCACGGGACCGGCCTGGTCGGGCAGTCCGGGACCGGGTCTGGGCTTGAACCGGGGGGAAGGGGTGGGGCGGGCTCGGTTCATCATTTTTGTGACCCGGCCCGGCCGGGTCGGGCCCGGGTCCGGGTCTATTTTTTTTAAAAAAAAAACTTTTTTTTTATTTTTGGCTACTAGCCTACTAGCCGTTGAGGCCTTGGGGGTGGGGCTGGGGACAACCCAAAAGGCTATATAGCCGTTGGGTGGGGTAAAGGGGGGGTCCGGGGGGGTTGGCTGGTAGGGGGTGGGGGTGGGGGGGTGGGGGGTAAAAAAACCTATAAATTCTCCTACTCTTAAACATTTTTTCATATCTCTTCTCCAATTCTTCCTAAATCCTATTCTTAACTCTCTACTCTCTAATTCTCTTATTCTCCAATATATTATATATCTACTCTCTAATTCTCTTCTCCAAGAAGTTAAGATGGAAAATCAAAATGCCATTATACGGTATAATTTTGATAAGCAGAAGGACCCGAAGACCGGGATGTGGTACGCAATTTGTAAATGGTGCGAAAAAAAATGTATTCTGGGGGCTTGAGGCGGATTCGGGATGGCAATCAAGCATATGAAGTCATGTGACAAAGCCAAAGGATCGGGAGGTGCGGGAAGTTCCGATTGATTACAATTTTCAAAATGTTTATCTCTTAAAGTTTGTTTTAATTTTCAAATGTAGTTCCTATTTCATTTCAAATAAATGCAATTGAAGTTTGTTTTTAATACTCGTATCAAACTGTAAACTATAAAATATAAAATATAAATTATAAAAAAAAAAATTAACCGGCCCGAACCGGACCCGACCCGTGACCCGGGCGGGTGGCTCGGACCCGTCCAACCCTCGGGCCGGTCCCGGACCCACTGTTCTTGAACCGGCGGCCCGACCGGACCTAGGCCCGGCCCGAATCCATCACTATACTAGAAGCCTGAAGCCTGAAGGCTCCACTACAAGGAATTGGACCATAACACTTTTGTGGTTTATGTATGTTATAACAATTGTCATTTTCTCTTTGCTAAAGTTATCAACTTATCTAATACTTCAACCTTTAAAAGTTATAACAATTATGATTTTTGAACTATTTACACACTTTACTTTGACTATAATTTTCTAATAGTATATATAATCAAATTATTATGTATAAGATGTTATTAAATTTCTATTAATGTAAATTTCCAAAATATTAATTTTTTTTAGTTTTTACTAATACATAATTAAATATAATTACAGTCAAAGTTGTGTGTTGACAAACGTAAAAGTTAAATTGTTGCAATTTTTAAAAAAACAGAGGATAGTAATACGTAGTACAATCTTTTCGAGATTGGTGACTCCAAATTGAACATAAGTATTAATAATAAATTTTGGGATTGAATTAGGGGGCTTTTTAATAAAATTTGTTAGAATTGCTAAAAAGGGCTTGATTTGATTAAGTACTCCCTTTGTAAGGAAGAGTCGCACGGGCGGGCCGGGCTGCGTAAAATACCCTAACACCGTCCAATGTTACAAAATGAAAATGAAAAAAGATAAAGAAATAGAAATGTCACATCAATGTCTAGGTTAGTAGTTACACATACTAACTAGAGGTGGACTCGGGTCCGGTCGGGCCGCCGGTTTGTATCACATGGACCCGAGACCGGCACGAGAGTTGGACAGGTCCGGTTCGGGCCGGGCCACCCGCCCGGGTCACAAGTCAGGCAACCCATCGGGCCGGGCCGGTTAAAGTAATTTTTTTTATAATTTATACTTTATAATTTTATACAAGTATTAAAAACAAATTTCAAGTGCATTTATTTGAAATGAAATAGGAACTACATTTGAAAATTAAAACAAACTTCAAGAGATATACATTTTGTAAATTGTAATCAATCGAAACTTCTCGCACCTCCCGATCCTTTGGCTTTGTCACATGACTTAATATGCTTCATTGCCATCCCGTATCTACCTGAAACCCCCATGTTACATTTTTTCCAACACCATTTGCATGTTGCGTATCACATCCCGGTCTTCGGACCCCCCCTACACCCCACCCAACAGCTATATAGCCGTTTGAGTTGTCCCCAGCCCACCCCAACGGCTATTTTGGCCCAAAACAATTTTTTTTCTTTAAAAATGACAGTTGGACCCGGGCCCGAACCGGCCGGGCCGGGTCAACTATTTCCGGAACCGAGCCCGCCCCGCCCATCCCCATCGGTTCGGGTCTACACCCGGTCCCGGACCGCAAGACCGGGCCGGTCCCGGGCCCACACAGTAACGGGCCGGGCCGGGTCATGGGCCGGGTGGCCCGAACCGAATCCACCCCTAATACTAACTATAATCAACCATTGAAAAAGATAAATGGGGTGTTTTTTATAGTGAATGTAGGGATGGACCCGGGCCGGTCCGGTTCCTGTTCCGGGCCGAGCCCGGGCGGGCTTTTTTCCCAGGTACTTGGGCTCGGAACCGGCCAAGGTTGATACTGGGTCCGGGCCTAACCGGGTCGGGTCGGGTCGGGCCGGGTCAGGCTCGATTCAATGTTTATTTTTTTTGGCTTTCTTGTTATCCCCCGACCCCCCTCACTCCCACCCCCCAAACCTCTCAAAAACACCCAGCCCTACCCTTGGAAAAGAAAAAAAATTGGAAAAAAAACTCGGGCCCGGCCCGAACCGCTCGGGCCGATTCAACAAAAATGGGGCCCAAGCCCGGCCCGCCCGGCCCGCCAAAACGGGCTAAAAGCCCGGAACCGGCCATCCGGGCCCAGGCCGGTCCGGGCCCACACAGTAGCGGGCCGGTCTGGTTCCGGGCCAGTTCGGCCCGTGCCAGTCCATCCCTAAGTGAATGTTTGATAAAGTTATTTGATATTATGATTGATGAGAACTTAATAGACTTTGAATAAGATTATAAGCAACATTTAGTCCTTCATTTCTTGCATTTATAAGAAGAAATAATTCCAACCATAGAAATTCAAAATAAGAATCTAACTCAACTCCTAAAAGGGTGCTGCCACTCAATGAGGGTTTTTATAAGAAAACGCCAAACTATATTAATTTAACGAATAATTTAGAGTTACAATCAACCAAAAACTCAAAATCCACCAACTATCTTCGAATAGACTCCTATTAGACTCAAGAAAAGCCCTACGATCAGACTTTGAGATAGTCACCTCCAAAGAAGCAACACGAATCACTGACCACAAAAAGAGCAACATAGAGTTCTTTCTGACCCTTGAGGTCACCATACTCTTTACCACTTTAATAAATTCAAAATGGTCGAAGAGTTTCCCCAGTCCCTGATCAGACATAGAAATATTCACCCAAAATAGAGCGAAACGTTTAGTTGAACATACGGGAGATTTGAAGTCAATAACAACCATAAGCATCCCCAAAATACCTCTACCACAAGCGAGCCAAAAACACAATAAAAAGTCTAGAAAGGCATAAGTAAAACTGGAAAGAAAAGCAAAGCAATAAACCACATTCAACGAGATCCAAACTTGAAGCGTTTTTTTTCAAACCTTAAACACTTGATCCCTCCATGGCGGCGATTTCAGAGGGGGACGGGCTGACTGTAGTGCATCTTCTTGCTCACCCTTCTCGTTGTGCTTCACTTTCTCCTTGAATCCGCACATGCAGCCCCGAACTAGACTTGCACCTGGCGGAAGCTTTGCACCAGAAATCATAAGAACACTTACGGAGATCTCCGTGCTACTCCAATAGCTTGCCTAATTGAGCAACCTTCGAACACTATCACAGAGGATAGGCCAAAACTGTCGGACATAGTGAAAAAGCTCACTACCGGAAAGATAAACCCTAGAATGTTAGGGCAACGACCGCACGTACCGATTACCAACCAAATTTGTGTCTCCAACAATAAAATGTACGATCAACGCAGCACATGGGAACACCACACACAAAACTTCATCTCTTGCGGAACTTGATCATATCTAAAAATGTGAAGAGCTTGCCGCCGCGGAAACCCATGTTTCTCTACATTTATATTATTTAAATACTACTTTTTTTATTTCCACTCGATGAGGTTAAATTTCAGTTTCATGAGATTATGTTTATAATTTATTAACCAACTATTATGTAAAACTAAAGGTGGACCAGGTCTGCAGTCCTAGACCGGTCTGGAACCGGGCCCGCTACTCTGCGGGACCTTGTACCCGATCGAGTACCAGGCGGTCCCGGTTCACAGTTTTGGAGACCGAATTGGGCGGTTCAAGTGCCAAGCTGGATTTTTTTAGACTTCGCTCTGGCCCAGACGCGGAAAAAGGCAGTTCGGACTTGGTTCCAACCAATTTTTTTTAGTCCAGGTGGTCTCGGCCTGGAACCGGGACCGGACCAACATCGGATGCATCCCCTATGTAAAACCTTTCAAATTTCAACCTAGGGATTGTTTGTCCAAATCCTAAAAAATCTTTTACATTTAGAAAAGGCTTGAAAGAATTATTATACACTTTGGAATGTTTTAAAAAATAGGATTATTATCTCTATATATCATCAGTTATAATCAAATTAAAATAGCTATCATATTCTTCAACTTTTATAAGAACAAAAAAATGATTCAAACTTCGACATTCCTCATAAATTCACTCTCACTGGATTAAATATTGATATTTAAGAAGAAAAATCAAGAAGACGTACATTCTTATTCCCGTTTCATATTTCATTATTTATTTCTAGTTTAGAGTTGAGAAATTTGTATTGCTTATAAGTTTTTAAACAAAAACTTATTTATATAAATAAAATTTACCTTTGATGAAACTAGTGTTACTTATAATTGATCAAATAATGGTGTGCATAAATCATGGCGTGCAACTAGGGTTGTAAATGAATCGAATAATTTTGATCTAATTCGCGATTCAGATTCAAAATTGTGGATTTGAATTCGAAATAATTGAATACGAATTCAAATACGAAACGGTTTTGGTATTCAAATGACTTTCAAATACAAAAACAAATATACATATATTTGATTCGTAATTTATTCGAACATATTCGAATTATATACATACGAATTATATGTATTCCATTATAGTTATAATATATAATAATTTAAATTTAAATAATAAAAATAGGTAATATGTACTCAAACCATACCCGCTCTCTACTACTCTTGTTTAATTAAGTTGTACATTCATTTTAGTTAACATATGTGTGAAAATCGAAAAAACAATATGTACAATACATCATAATTTGAATTGGTGAAAATTGAAAAATGGTATTTAAAACATTCGAATTCGTATATTTGAATAAAAGCCAGATATATTCGAATATGCATAACGAATCAAATACGAATAGAATATATGATTCACATACTAAAAGAATACGAATATGAATATTCGTCAAATTATACGAATACAAATAATATTACTCAATATTCGATTTGATTCGTTTACAACCCTATGTGCAACTATAAGGAAAGAGTTCAAATCTTTCTTGGAAACAAATAAAGTTATTAAACAACATATATTTGGTTTAGATTACTTGAACAACATCTATAAAAAATAATAATTTATCAACTAGCTAATTCACGGATTTGTTAGTTTTTTTAAATTAGTTTTTTAGATTTTGTTAGGAAGTTTTCTATTATAGAAAAATAACACACTATTATTTTTTATGATTTGTTTAAGTTCTTTGTAATTCATGAAAAAACATAATCCAATAATTAATAAAAAAAATGTAATTTAATACAAGTGTATATAAGGTATTGATATTGATATAAAAAATTGTAATTTTGAAAACTAATAACGGAAAAGTATGACTGTCAAAAAAGAAAGAGTTTGAGTGTTTATTGTTGATTAAAGTTTCAAGAATATAAAAGATATGTAAATGAGATGATAGTTCCATATGTATAAACTAATCATCATACTCCGTATAAAATATTACATTCGTCCCTTAAAACTTTGTCAAGTTTGATCGGCATGGGGAATAATAAAGTAAAAACTGTGTGGTTGAGGTTTGTGTAGAGGAGAGAAAAATAACAAGAATCACAAAATAATTGATTAAAAGCGAAAGTTTCAAAATTTTTTGAGATGTGTCAAAAAGATAGCAAACTTATAAGGGACGAAGGGAGTATACAATATGAGTATTCTCCAAATTATGAGTGCTTTGGGATTACAAAGTTTGAATGAAGTCAAAGTTTAATCCTGCATATATATTAGCGCAATATATATGTAAGATTGATTCAGGAATACAAAAGTTATGTAGTAAACGCAATAATAAAGTCAGTAAAACTATAGTTGTAAAAAATACTCTTTAGTCCCATTATTTTCTTCTCAATCAATTACTTTTATAGTAGTATATGTGATGTCTCAAAATTTACTTCTTATTTATTTTTAGGATTGGTTGTCTTATTAACATGCTTTCACATTTTCCTGCTACTTCAACTACAATCATATATTTTTACATTATTAATTATTGTGTAAATTCAAACAACAACAACAACATCCAAGCCTTAAATTCCAAAAGAATTTTGGGGTCGCCTAACATGAATTGATCTATAATATCAAAAATGCCAAAAAGAGAAGACGGACAAGAAATGGAAGAAAAAGGTAAGATAAAATGAATAAAATAAAGATAAATAAATATAAGATAATAATAACACAAGAATATAAGAAAGATAAAACATAAAAAATAAAAGAGCATAAAAAAGCTAGAAGATACAAATAACATAAAAATATAAAAAGAGAGGAAAGGTAGAAAAGACAATCAATCGTACACACGGATGTGCGCCCTCCACTTTGCTCTCTCCAAAGCCATACTTCATTCAACCCAAGAAGACGCATATCAATTCTGATTCCTCTAATCCAAGTCAGTTTGGGTTTTCCCCCCTCCCCCCTCTCTTCTTTTCCTTTTCTCCCCACCCATCAAGTCGTCTAACAGGTGCTTCACTCGGTCTTATACGCTCGCACATGTCCAAACCATCACAAACGAGACTCATGCATCTTATCTTCTATAGGTGCTGCTCCCACCTTTTGTCTGATTACCTCATTCCTCAAGCGATCTTTTATGGTATGTCCACACATCCAACGCAACATACGCATCTCTACCAGACTCATCTTTTGAATGTGACATTGATCGTAAAAGCTCAATTCAACATTTAAACTTTATTAACTTTATATGGTAAATATTGATTTGTAAAATAAGATATAAAATAAAGCCAATTGACAACCTAGTTAGTTATTATTAAACATAAAAAAAAAGATTAATGTAGGAAGAAGACATTTAAAGTACATACTATAAATGAAGGATTGTTTGAAATGTGTGGATATTCACTTTTTATCGTTATACCACTAAAGTATAATCGAGAAATGTTTCTTATATTCTTTTTCTGGAATTTGAGTTCATATTCTGACCTTTTAAGATACTCGGTAGAATTTTGGTTGGACTTTTCAACTGTGAATCTTAAATATTGTTGGTTTTATATTATTAACTATTAAGAGCCTTTTTTTTGTTTTTTATTTTGTAGGAGAATATTTGGTATTGATGCAAAATATTAACAGATGAACATTTTTAGTATAAAGCCATTTTAAATTTGAAACAATCAAATTTAGAGTGGTTAAACTCTTGTTTTATTTATATTTCTATTTGAATTTTTTGGAGTAAAACCATCATTTTGTATTATTTATGTAAAATAAAAAAAGAAATTGATACACAAGCTATATTTATCTTAAACTTCAAGAGTAAATGTAGACAAATGAATGAATGACGGGTTTAATGCACCAAATCCCCATGTGATATGGAATTTCGGCGCATTAACCCCCTATGATTTAAAAAATGCGTCAAACTCCCTTGCGTTTTAATTAATTATGTGCAAAATCCCTTTTATGAACAAATTCAATTGTCAACTATAAGAAAAATGATTAACATTTTTGTTTGTATGATGTAGAGATTTTGACATATTTATTCGCATATTCAATTAGAATATTAGGAAAAGTGATCTCAAAATCATTAAATTTAGCCATAAAAGGAGTTCTGTGCATGATTAATTAAAACACGGGGGGGTTTGACGCATTTTTCAAATCACATGGGGTTAATGCGCTGAATTTCTATATCACGAGGGGGATTGATGCATTAAACCCAATAAATGACAAATACAAGTTGTACCCACAAAAAGGAGAAAAATGTACTTTTATACTTCATGAAACGTGAAAGTATAAACTATAAATTTATATACTCCCTCCGTCCCTTAAAACTTTCCTTTTTGGGACGTCCCAAAAACCTTGACATTTTCCTTTTAATCAATTATTTTGTGGTTTCTATTATTTCTCTCTCCTCTGCACAAACCTCAATCACACAGTTTTTACTTTATTATTCTGCGTGCCGGTCAACTTTGGCAAATTTTTAAGGAATGGAGGTAATAGTATTTAGTACTCAATAAATCTATAAATTAATAAATACTAATACTAATTACATTTCGAATAAATAGGAACTATTGTATGATGTGTAAATGTTCAATGCAATCACTACTTCAAAATTAATTAATTTAATTAATGAAAAATCTAATATTGACTTATTGCGCACACTGACATTAAATTCTCCGAGTCATCGCGTAACTAAATTTCAAAATAATCTATAGCCGTCAGATCTTCCGTTAGCCATCGACTGCGATTTCAGGAGAATAAGACCGTTGGTGGATTACCAAAGAGAGCTGCGATTTCAAAAATATAAGACCGTTGAAGCGTCTCTTCCATAGCTTTAAAGCAGGCGCCTATCTCTTTTTCTCTAAGAATCCTTCAATCTCTATAGAGCGTGAGAGAGAGGGGAAAAAAGGGAAGAAAGCGTTAGAGATCTCTTTTTGTACGTCTAATCATAAGGGAATGGCTTCAAGAAACGGTGCTCAACTGCATAACAGAGGTATCAATCATCAAGTTTCTGTATTTGAATGTTACGATTCTCAATTTTGTCAATCTTCGTTCTTTTCTTTCTGGAATTAGATCGGTTCCAGACTTCTGGGTCTATGTAACGTAGTTTTCTTTATATTTTCTACCGTAATTTTTCATTACTTCCCGATCAATTTCTTCTGAAAATTTGAATCTTGATACGTATCTGTAGTCATGTGAGCGTTCTGATGATTTGCTTACTAAATCGCATAGCGTTTGTACACTTTTACCCTAATCCTGCACATGATAGTCCTGTTCTTGTATGCCCATGAACTGTTTGATATATTTCATCTGGTCTTTTTTTAACAATCTGTTTCTGATTAAAGTACAAAGAGTATGAGTGTTTGTTAATTATCAAGTAAAAGAAATATCTTTGTTAGCCCATGTATCAGAATCTTCCATATTAGGGGTTTTCTGATCGTAATGTGAATATAATTCTTCTTGCAGAGGCAATAAACGGTGGGCAAAAGCAAAAGAACATGGCGGCCGCTGGGGCAGATGGAAGGAACCGCCGGGCTCTTGGTGATATTGGGAATCTGGTTACAATTCGAGGGGGGGCTGAAGGTGGCAAGGTTAAGATACCTCAGGTTTCTCGCCCTCTCACCAGGGGCTTTTGTGCTCAACTTCTTGCCAATGCACAAGCTAACGCCGACAACAAGAACAAGGTTCTCTCTCCCTACTTATCTCTCTATCATATCATTTCATTAGATTCTGAGCAATTATTGTATTTCCCGTCATGTTGTTAATCATGGGTTGGTGTAATCTGATATTGCAGAAATCTATGTCTGTAAATCTTGATCAAGGGGAATTTCCTGCAAGAATCCCAAGAAAGCCTCATCTGAAGAAACCTTCTATTCCAACTTCAAATCCTCCCAAACCTGAGGAGGTGATTGTAATCAGCCCTGGCACCGCAGATCAGAAAGACAAGAAGAAGTTTCCCAAAAAATCATCCTCTGATGATGGCTCGTCTTACAAGACTTCCTACACTTCAACTCTCACTGCTCGAAGCAAGGTTTATATCTATTTTCATTTTCTCTGTCTCTCTCTGGAGTTTAGTCTGGACTAATAACTGATAGTTTTCTTCTTTCCTTTGCACAACAGGCTGCTTGTGGACTCAAGAGCATAAAAAAACCTAATGTGTTCATTCAAGATATTGATGCTGGGGATGAATACAATGAATTGGCAGTTGTTGAGTATGTAGAAGACATCTACAAGTACTACAAGGAAGCTGAGGTCTTCATTTTAACCCCTGATATGAATAAAAATCGTGTCTATTATTTGTGAGTGCCCCTTTTCTGATCAAAATCGTGTCTTTTTGTTTAATACCCAGAATGAAAATAGGGTCGGTGATTACATGAAGTCACAACCCGAGATCAATGAGAGGATGAGAGCAATCTTGGTTGACTGGTTGACTGAAGTCCACCACAAATTCGAACTGACATCAGAGACTCTATACCTGACATTCAACATTGTGGACAGATACCTGGCATCAAAGGCAACAGCAAGGAAGGATCTGCAGTTAGTCGGCATTAGTGCAATGCTTATAGCTTCCAAGTACGAAGAAATATGGGCCCCAGAAGTCAACGACTTTGTGTGCATCTCAGACAGGGCGTACACACATGAACAAGTCCTGCAGATGGAGAAGCTGATTCTTGGGGAGCTGGAGTGGTACCTGACCGTCCCAACCCCATACGTTTTCCTCGTGCGGTTCATCAAGGCTTCCTCTGGTGCGATCCCTGATTCAGAAATGGAGAACATGGTCTACTTTCTGGCAGAGCTGGGGATGATGAATTATGCGGCCGCCGTCATTCACTGCCCGTCCATGATTGCTGCTTCGGCGGTGTATGCTGCTAGGTGTGCGTTGAACAGAACCCCGTCTTGGAATGACACGCTGAGGGTTCACACTGGATTCTCTGAGGGGCAGCTGATGGGTTGCGCCAAGCTTCTAGTTGGTTACCATCTGGAGGCTGCTACTCATAAGCTGAGAGTCATCTTCAAGAAATACTCTCTTCCCCAGAGAGATGCCGTTGCTATTCTTCCACCTGCCAAGTCTCTCTTGGCGCCTGCTGCTGCTACCTAAAAGTTGTGAATTTGCAAAAAAAAAATGATCTCTTTGATCATTTGCTTAACATTCAAGACTACCATTGTGTTTTTTAGTTCAAATGTTGTCTTTTATTTCATTATTCTTTTGACTGGATTCTGAAAATTGATGGAAGAATTTATCCTTTTTTATCATTCTTATTTTTACTGATTATTACTGGGGAGTTGTGGGGACTGGGGAGTTGAACTTTGAAAAAAATTAAACTGAAGAAAATTAAACTGTTTACTTTAATAGTTTAATGTTTTGGCATTCATTACAACAAATGGGCTTATTTTTATGAACCCTGGGCGTGTTCACTTTGGTCCATATTCATATGCTTGCTATGTGAAGGAATTTGGTACCTCTATACTTGAGGCTTCTTCTATATTTGGAAATAGAAGAACAAAAAACAAAACATCAATTACCCATCATACTTTTGTGAAAGACAATGAAAGATATGAGTAGAAAACAAAAGTAGTGAACTGAGTATACTACTGAGTATGTCCATAGTTGAACCTTAAAAAATGATTGATTAGAATGTATTCTATACTCGAAAAAGAGAGCATGCAAGTGTTCTCTTCATTGAGGGTGGTGCGCATTGTGATATTGGGGCCAATATTATCTTCTGTTAATGTTCTTTATCCTTCTTCGTGAGGACCATAACTGTTTATCACATAGTTTCATGTTTCATCAGCCTCAGCGCATTAGGAAGATGGATTTGCCAGTAAAAGAGGCGATTTCTTTTCCTCTGGTAATCTGTTAGGACCAGAATTAAACATTTCTTTTTTGAAATCATCCATTCAACGGTTTTGCAAATTACTGAAACAAAGAGGGGTCTTTCCTCTTCAATCATTTTCAACCTTGAAGCAGCTATATGGATTAGGGATTCTTTATTGTCAGTTGGAACTGGAAATTGGTGATTTACTCGATTTGAGAATTCTAAGTCCATCAAATTATCCTCTGAACACAATGATTATGTTGGAAGCTATTCGCACCTCACATGGTCTTCACCTCACTCAACATAAGTACATCCGTGATCTCCTATCACGAACCCATATGCAAGATGCCAGTTCCGTTCCTACTCCTCTTTCGCCGGATGCTCCTCTGTCACTTTCTGATGGTTCTTCTCCTCATGACGCCACAGAGTATAGAAGTGTTATTGGTGCATTACAGTATCTTTCCTTTACACGGCCAGATATCAGTTTTGTTGTTAATAAACTTTCTCAGTACATGCACCGGCCCACAACTCGTCATTGGGAAGCTATCAAACGTGTTCTTCGATACCTAAAGGGCACTCCTCATTTTGGGATTTTTATCTCTGCACATACTCCATTAACTCTTCATGCTTATGCCGACGCTGATTGGGCCGGTGATATAGACACTCACCACTCTACTTCTGCCTATGTTGTTTTTCTCGGCCGCAATCCCATCAGTTGGAGTTCAAAGAAACAATCCACCGTCGCCCGCTCCTCTACTGAGGCTGAATACCGCGCCATCGCCTCAGCCAGTGCTGAACTCACTTGGTTACGCAATCTTCTCCATGAACTTCGTATCACACTAAAACAGTCTCCTACTATTTTTTGTGATAACATAAGTGCCACTTATGTGTGTGTTAATCCCGTTCTCCACTCCAGAATGAAGCATGTCGCTATTGACTTTCACTTTGTTCGAGAACAAATCGCTCAAGGACTCGTCCGAGTTAGTCACGTTCATACAAAAGACCAGCTAGCCGATTCCCTCACTAAACCGTTAGCTCGTTCTCTATTTCTTTCTCACAGGTCCAAGCTCGGCATCCTACCAGGGCCGCTCTCGCTTGCGGGGGCATAATAGGATAATCACTACTTATTATTAATTATCTGTAATTATAATTTGTACTTATCTTAGAATGGTTTACTTGTATTAATCTTCTCAATTCTTATCTCCTGTAACAAACTCATACATGTGTGATTAATACACTATTTATAGCTGGCTCCTCTCATTCAAGAGAGTAAGTCTTGTTTGCTAATTATCCTTTATATGGAACTTAAGAATTCTTTTGCCACATTGTGCATTCAGAAGGTTGGAAAAAGTCAGGTCTTTCATATATTTGGTCTTGAGTGAAATACATATAAATATAGTAGATTCCAAATTTCCAATTATGCATATCTGCCCATCTCTGATTTTTTGTTTCAATCATATATTATTAATTTAACCACTTGGGATTTTTCAGGTCAACATTAAAAGGCCTAGTCACTTTCGATTATGGATGCTCACTTTGGATTATGGTGTCTTATTTACTACACATTGATGGGAATATTCAGAAGTTAACCGATAAATAGGATCAGCAATGCAGCATCGGGATCTCCTTATACAAGAGGTGTCTATGGATGTCTTGGATAAGATTGTGGAACAAAAGAAGATTTAGAAATTCCCCTAAATAGGAGTAAAAACATTTTGAAATTCCAAAATAGGATTATCATGTTTTTATTCCAAAAGAGTAATCTGCCAAGTTTGAAAAAAAATGTCATGTTTAAAGCCTAGTAATGCCAAACTTGGTAGAAATTTACTCATATTCAGGCAATAAAAAATATGATAGACCTATTTTGAAATTTCAAAACATTTTTCCTCCTATTTAGGGAATTCTCTCAAGAAGATTTTGACGTTTATCCTTCCCTTGAATTTCTCCTCTTGCAGGATCTTTTTTACTAATAGAGTTGAGGAAAGAATGGTTAAAAAGTCATTACGGACAAAATCTTTTACTCGATTTTAGAGAAAGTGACTCGAGAATTATAGGTCTCCAATAAGAAAAAAATTAATGAGCTTTTCAACGACTCTAAACCACATCAAATTCTAAAGCATAAACTGCTAAATGATCACCTCATCTACAAAGAATCTTCTATTTAGAAGGATGCACTTCTTGAACCTATAGAGGAGGAAGATGATGTTTCACTGCTGTTGTCTCCAAGAAGGACAAAAACCACAATGCCTCTTTGATTAGAACTGTGCAAACTGTGCAGCAATCTAAATGGGTTCAAGACTTCTCTCCTATGGGATTTTTTAAGGGCTAGGGAAAGTGAATTGCTCTGAATTTCCATAACTTGAGGGCGTTTTAGGGCTCAATAAAAGTCTCACATTTTTTAGTTCTTTAATACTCCCTCCGGTCTCTATTAAAGTTCCCAGTTTGTCTTCACACAGATTAAGAAAATAAATTTGATTTTACTGTGGAGTGCACTGTTTGACAATGTTTGGACACTGTTTGACACTGTTTGGCACTGTTATGCTTCCTACAATGAAAGTGTGAACTTAAATAAGAGACATCCCGAAAAGGAAAGTGAGAACTTTAATACGGACCGGAGGGAATATCTTTTCATATTTTTCATTTTTCCTTCTTATTTCTCTACCTCGTGTCTCTTGTTATCATTTTCATTCTCTTGGGAAGTGTAATCTCATTAGCGATGGCACTTTTACTTCACTATGATTATTAAAATTCCATTTCTCAAAAAAAAAACTTTATCGTTTATCTACTTGTATTTGTACTATCTGGAACCGACCCGGTCTGCCACTGTGCGAGCCCGACCCGACCCGGTTGCTAAACGGGTTCGGGATTTTACCGGTTGAGCGAGCCGGGTTCGGGCTCTGTATTTGTTGAACCGGCCCGAGCGGTTCGGGCAGGCCCGAGCTTTTTTCCAGATTTTTTTGTTTTTCTTGGTTAGGGCTGGGAGTTTTGGGGGGTTGGGGTGGGGGTGAGGGGGGGGGGTCGGGGTTAATTAGAAAGCAAAAAAAAATTAACTTGCCCGAGCCGGTTCCAGGCCCAACAATTTGAAGAAGAAAAAAAATGTCCGGGCCCGGCCCGGAACCGGCCCTGGTCCATCCCTATCAAACCTGCACAGTTACAAATACACAGAGAACAGACATTTACAAGATCAGACCAGACAGTTCAGATCAGTTCAGATCAAACCAGACAAAACCAAATCAGACTTAAACAGAAAATTCCAGGTCAAATAAAAACAATCTCATATGGAATTGTATATAGACGAGCCAATGGGCCATGCTCATTTGTTGGAATACCAAGAAGTATCACTCCCCCTTCACATTATAGATTTATAGGGATGTAATTATCATGAGTCTTTCTTATTGTACCCACTTTTGTATACACATTTCTATCAACTCCCTTATTTTGTCTGTGTACACAGACAAACATAGAAAAAATGGTGTCTTGTTCTTAAAGAATTGTCTGTGTGCACCAGCAAAATAGGGAGTGGGTACAAAAGTACGTACAAAAAAGGTACAAAAGTGGGTACAAACAGATTTTTTGAATTATCATATACGTAGTCAAAGAGTGGAATGAAAGACATAGCCGAATTCAACTCCAAACAATGATTTGGAATGGAACTCTATTCTCTTTCTATTAGAATGAGAACAAATCTCAACTTAGGGATGGGGTGCCATTCATTTTAAAGAAAGACATAAAATGTTTTTACTTGGACTATTTTTAATCTCATACTAGATCGACTAAATCAGACAGACCAGATTTTCATAGTTATAAAATACAGAGATCAAACATTTACCAGATCAGATCAAATCAGACCAATTCAAACCTAACCATACGGAACCAGACTAACAAGTTTCAGTCCAAGTAAAAATATCCATACAACAATGATATAAACATTAGATTTCTAGTTTTGTCGAGTAAACTTATACAACAATATCCAAGCCTTAATCCCAAAAAAATTTGGGGTCGACTAACATGAATCGATCTATGATATCGATGCCAAAAAGAGAAGGCGGACAAGAAAAGAAAAAAAGTAAGATAAAATGAATAAAATAAAGATACATAAATATAAGATAACATTAACACAAGAATACAATCAAGACAAAGAAAAATAAATAAAAGAGCATAAAAAAGCTAGAAGATAAAAATAATATAAGAATATAAAAAGATAAGGAAGATAAACGATAAAAGAAACAATAGAGGAAAGGTAGACAAGACATCAATCGTCCACATGGATGTGCGCCCTCCACTTTGCTCTTTCCAAAGCCATACTCTCATCCAACCCAAGAATAAGCATATCAATTCTGATTACTCTAATCCAAGTCTTTTTGGGTCTCCCCCTCACTCTCTTCTCTGACTCTTCTCCTCACCGTTCAAGTCGTCTAACAGGTGCATCACTCGGTCTTCTATGCACATGCCCAAACCATCACAAACGAGACTCCTACATCATATCTTCTATAGGTGCTACTCCCACCTTTTGTCTGATTACCTCATTTCTCAGGCGGTCTTTTCTGGTATGTCCACACATCCAACACAACATACGCATCTCTGTCACATTCATCTTTTGAATTTGGCATTACTTCACCGCCCAACACTCTACGCCATACATTAATGTCGGCCTAATTGTTGTACGATAAAACTTACCTTTCAATTTAGTCAGCATACCTCGATCGCATAAAAATCCTGAAGCACTTTTCATTTCATCCACCCAGCTCTAATTCTATGACATACATCTCCATCTAATTCACCATCCTTCTAAATTATGGATCCCAAGTAACGGAACATATCACACACCAGTATCTCCTTACCAACAAGAGTAATTCCACTGTTGCTACCGCTTCTACCTCCACCGAACTTGCACTCCATATACTCAGTCTTGCTTTGGCTCAGTTTGAAACCCTTGCTCTCCGATGTTTGTCGCCACTTCCAACTTTGCTTTAACACCGGATTGTGTCTTATCAATCAATACAATATCGTCGGCAACCATCATGCACCACGGTATATCTTTTTGAATTGACTTCGTAAGTTCATCCATGACTAAAGCAAATAAGAAAGAACTCAGAGCAGATCCTTGATGCACTCCAATAGTAATAGGGAACCCTGCGGTCCTCCCTACACTAGAGTGTGGACACTTGTAGTACAAACATCATATATATTCATGATGATGCTGATATACTTACGTGATATGCCTTTTATAGTTAAGGCCCACCAAAGAACTTGTCTTAGGAGGTTTCAACTACGGTTTACGATGCCTGATAAAAAATGTAAATTTGGTAAAAAAATTGATATATAAAGCAAAAAATTAAGAATGATTTAAGTTAACAATGTGAATAGTGAACCTTTGAATGGGACGGAGGAAGTATTAAACAAATACACTTCATTGAATAATTATCAAGTATAGTTCACCCAAAACATGTACATCTCTCTGAGCTTAAGATTTACGAAGTATATTACACAAATGACACAATTATTTAGACAACAATTAATTAAAGTAATTCAAGTATATCATGATAAATAATTTTGATGGATATATAAATGATAAGTTCATTGATAATATTATTTCCCAAAATAGAAATGTGAATCTTTAATTTGAGATTCACAAATTAAACTAGGAAAAAGAAAGAGAGACTACTTTACAGTTTATAGTTTTATAAACTATAAACTAGGAAAGAGAGACTACTTTACAGTTTATAGTTTTATACAACTAAAATGACCCAACATCAATATAGTTATAAAGGCATAAGTTTGCATTAATATTTAAATGCATACATTGCAATATAGCTTGATAATCAGGATTGCGAAAGAGAGGTTTTATCAGAAACCTGCACATAGTACTCCACATGCAGTTAAGCACATTCAAACTTTCCCATTGGGCCGGAAAAAGAAATTATACCCTAATATATGCCCGAGAAGGCCCATTACTCCCATGGACAGAAGCATCCAAGATCCTGCCAACCTCGAAACAAACAAAGGCATCAACGCAGGCATACCGGATCTGCTCTGTGGATAGCCACTCCTGATCCCACCTTCCCATCGTCACTCTTCTCGGCTTCACCATCTCCGCCCCCAAATATCTCCTCGCCAGATCCTTCAGCCCGACATTTCTGAGTGACCTATCGTTAGCCTCATCCGCCGCTAGGTTCCGCAACTCCACCCCGTTGGTAACCGCCAGATTGTAGTCTTCCACCAGTTTCTCCAAGTCTGCTCCGATTCCGACGCCGACGAAGGTGTAGGATGCGTTGGCGAGGAATCTGAAGAGCTCGACGGGAATGGCGCTGCAGTAGAGAAGTTGGACGATGAGGCAGCGGTCTCCGACGGCGAGTTGGAGCGTCGCTACTGGGTTCTGGTCACGCGAGAAACTCGGCCGCCACTCTACGTCCAGACCGACGATGAGACGGTGGAGACGGCCACGGTGGATGCGCTCGATGTCGTCGATCCAGCCGACGATCTTGCTAGGTTCACATGTCACTAGGGTTTCGATAGAGCTTCGGTAGAAATAGACGGTAAAGAGATCATAGGACCCTTCGATTTCCACAATGCCGATATCCATGATTACGGCCTTTCGCGGCCTGTAGGGTTTTGGTTTGGGGAGAAAGATGTCTTAGAGGAGGCTGTGGCCTTTTTTTAGGGGTGCGAAAAATAGAATAGATAATTTATATTTAATCGGCCTAAATAAAAAAACTCGGACCGAACTCGAATGATATTCTTGGTCTGGGTTTTTTCTATTTAATCGGCCTAAATAAAAAAACTCGGACCGAACTCGAAAAGTCGAGCTCATAAGTGGGCTTTGAAATTTATAACTCGGCCCGGACTGATAAAAATCCGAAACAATTAGTTTTAATATAAAATCAATATATTATACAAATATAATACGAAGTATATAAATAATTTCTAATACTCCCTCCGTCCCTTAAAACTTTGTCATCTTTTCTTTTTGGGACGCCCCAAAAAACATTGTCACTTTCCCTTTAAATCAACTATTTTGTGTTTTCTATTATTTCTCTCTCCTCTGCACAAACCTCAACCACACAGTTTTTACTTTATTATTCTTCGTGTCAGTCAACTTTGGCAACTTTTGAAAGCTTTTTAGTAACTGTTAGGTTTTAGTGACTGAAAAGATCTTAAAAGAAAAATGTGGTAGCTGTTTGGTAAAAAGTTGATTGTTAAATTTAGTTCGGTTTGGCATAGCAGCTATTAAGACTAATTGATACTAAAAGTCACGGACTTTTATCAGATGCTCAAAAAAGATCTTTTATTTCTTGAAAAGCTCTTGCAATTTTGTCATGCCAAACATATAACTAGAAACTTTTAGAAACTTAAAATAGTACAAAAGCTAGAATTCAGAGACTTATGCCCGTCAAACACGCACTAAATTTAGTCACTTTTTATCCATAAGTTTTATTCCGTAATATTTTTAGAAAATCTATATTATTTATTTATATGCATCTTAAACAAAATATTAAGATAATTGTCTTCTTTGGATTTCAATTGTTGGTGATTTTGAAGACTAATTTGTGTTATTATTTGCGGATTGTGTTTTTTATTAGTTTTATTTAAAAATAGGTTTTAAAATATAAAAAGACAATGATATTGATAGAGTAAATGTCTAGAGAGAAGTGAGAGCTAGAAAGAGAAGTGCAATATATGCTTCAATAGAATGATTTTGTAACCCCCATAACTACCTCCAGAGGAAGTATTTATAGGAAAAATACGGGCTGGGCTCCCAAGCCTTGGGCTTGGGAGGCCCATTTACAACTGGACCGCTATTGGGCCGAATACAAAGCCACTTGTGGGCTATACAAATGAGTACGTGTAAAATCCGGTTCTGTGAGACTTCCGTGGCCGACGAGGGTCTTGGCCGACGCGGGCACGACCAATGAGGACACCCTGGTTCTTTGGCTTCAGGATCATATTCTGAGTTGGTCCTTCTTCTGGCCGACGAGGGTCTCTGGCCGACGAGGGCACCGCGTAGCGGGTGTGCTTTCTGTTCTGAGTATGTGGGTCCTGGGGCCTAGACCCATATACTCCACCAGGAGTCCCTCACTCTCTAAGCTGAGATGTAGACGAAGTGATGGAGAAGAGATTTCTGTGTTTGATGCTCCTTGGCCGATGCGGAACCACGTTGGCCGTTCCTTGTCGCGGCTCTTGGTGGCCCTGTTCTGAGTTTGGCCGTTGTCTGCCCCCTGATGCGGATGGGGAAGGCTACTATTCCTTTGTTGCGCTTTGTTTGTTGGACGATGAGTGTTTTGGCACGAGTGGCCGATGAAGGTGGTGCCTATCCTTGATTATTGACCGGGTAAGTTTCCTTTTTGGGCTGGTGAGGCCGTAGGGGTTGCGTCTTTGTTTTGGGTGGCCGATGAGGGCACTGCGCATTCCTTTGGCCGTTGTTGATGATGCCATGTGCTATTGGACGACCAAACGTCGTATTGCCCAAGGTTTTGGGGATGACAACACTGTCTGACCGAAGATGGAGTTGTGAGGGCCTCGGGGCCATTGCGGTACATGGACGACAGTGATTTAGGTATGTTGACCCTTCTCTTGGTTCCTAGCTTGAGAGTAATGTGGTTTCAAGGCCGATAAGTGTCCTGTGATCTCAAGCTTTGCTGTGGCCGAAGGTGCACCATGATGTTATGGACGTTGTGGTGCATGTCTGATGTTGTAGTTGTGGACTTGGTGTATTTTTGGATTTCTTTTGATTTTGCCTGTTATTCTTGAGGCCGGTGTAGTCCCCCAGTCCCCCACTGCTTCAAGCCGAAGAGTGTGAGGGGTGAAGGAGTAGATTAAACCCTAGGTCGAAGTGGGATCCTCATACTGCCCTTGAATCCAACCCTTTGGCGATTTCCTGACCAAGGTAACCCTGTGGGAGAACCCTTGGACGCAGGTCGCTTTAAAAGGGTTATCATCAAGGGTCTAGTGCAAGGGCCTCATGGACGTTACGTTCATTTCCTTTGGGGTATCGTGGCCGTCGTGAAGCATTTGCATCATGTGTGACCCTTGGAATGGCCGATGCGGGTGTCACCTGGGTACCCGCAGACTGTGTTGGCCATTGAATGCCCTGACCGTTATGGGTGTTGTCTTTTCCCTTCTTGATCCGTAGGGCCTGCTTCGGTGGTGGGCTGCTGATCTGTAGACAGAGTGGTGGCACCCCATTGGTGGCCGTTGGTGTGGCCGCTGAGGTGATGCCACGTGTAGTTACCGTTGGGAGTGTGGCTATAAATACCCTCCCCGTTCCGAGGAGAGGAGCTCATTTGCATTCTGAGTAACGAAGTGCTGCCCAAATTCTTAGAGAGAGAGAGACCTTGCTGAGTGTTCTTCACCCCCTTCAAATCTTCAAGGTTAGTTCTTCAACCCGTTCTTCGATTTGTTACATATTTTGCTCTCCTAAGCCTTGATCCAGTGTTAGTCACAAAAACTCCTTAGATCTAAAATAGTTTGCCTTAGTGCCTTAGGAGTTGTTTAGGATGAAATCCTTAAACGATGAATATTACCCGTACGACGACGAGCCCTCCGCCAAGTCTCTTGACTATGCTGTGATTGAAGAGTGCGCCGAAGAGATCGAGAGCCTGAGCCCGTACAAATCCGGGGGGCCCGCGGACGAGGAGGACGAGGACGAAAGGTCCGCTTCATCATCTGAGGGTGAGGACGTAAGGGCCTCCCGTGTAGTGGACGGGGCGTCCGCCTCTACTACTATCTCGTGCCCGAAGCCGGTATCTGCTGTGAAGGGCCTGCCACGGCCGAAGAGGAACAGGCGGCCGAAGAATGGGCCAGGCTTCTCTTACCTGGACCTTACTAACATCTTTCTCATCAAGCCGGAGAGCAGTGCCGCTGATTATCTGGTCGCGCAGATGTACGTGGGGCCGTTCGGGAGGGTCAGGGCGCCGAGGCCGACAGACCACGTGCTCAACCCGCCGCCGGGGTACTTTGGGGTATATCTGATGAGTTTTGCCAAGGGGCTGAGGTTTCCCCTCCATCCCTTCATTCAGGAGTACTTGGACATGGTGGGGCTTCCGACGGCCTTGCTGGCCCCTAACAGTTATTCGCTGATGGTGGGCTTCATTCTCCAATGTGCGGAGTTGGGTTACAAGACGACAACGGCCCTCTTCATGAATCTTTACCAGATTGGTCGAGGAAGCCACAAGAATTGTGCCTGCTACGCCACTTTGCAGCAGCTTCCGAATAAGAGGACGTTCACGGATTTGCCTTCGTCCATACATGGTTGGAAGAGCAAATTTGTCTTCGTGTCCCTGGGCGAGGATGACACGGAGTTCCCCTCCGTCGGCCATGATGGAAGGTTTACCCTTCATGACCCTCCTAAGAGTTCGATTCTCGATGCTCAGGTGGCGGCCTTCTTGGAGGGGAGGGGGCGAGGAGTGTGAAGCACTACATCACGGAGTACAAGATGACCGCTATCGGCTTCTTCAGGTACTTCGTGTATGGTGATAAGGAGGACGACATCCAAATATGGCCGAAGATGACCACGACCTTCGAGGAGGCCGACGGCCCCGGTATGGGCATTCCTGCCGAAGCTGATGGTAATACCCCCTTCGGTGTCCTCATTTTACTTTGTCATTTTCATTTGCTGACTTGTTTGCCTTTTGTACAGATTTTGTGATGGATCGCCGGTAAGTGATGAATAAGGCCACTGCGAAGGCCAAGGCGGAGCTGGCCGCCAAGGAGGCTACGGCGAAGGCCGCTACTGGTGGTGATGCGACGAAGAGCCCCCCTCCTCAACTGAAGAAGAAACGGCCGGCGGAGGAGACTCAAAGGAAGCTGATTGAGGCCGGTATGCATCCTGCCAAGAAGTCGAAGAAGGCTTCATCCTCTGCTACTGCCGATGAGGCCGGCATGCTAGCCGTCCCGATTGCGGACGAAGGAGGGTCCAGCGCTGCTGCTGCCCTTGTGGACCTTGGCTCTGGTCTTTCCAGAGGGGGATCTCAACCCCTTCCCCTTGCTGAGGACTCCCGGCCGAAGCGGTCCGGCAAGGAGGTGGTTTCGTCCACCTACAAGTTGGAAGTTGAATACCCCAAAGACGGGGGGTTTTCAACGATGGCGTTGACGGCCACAGCATCCTCTCTCAGGCCATCCCGACTAAGGACCGGGTATATCTTGACAAGTTGGGAGATGTCAAGATATACGACGGTGGTATTGACCTTGTCGTCCAGGTAACCCCTCTCTTCCTTGGCCTTTGCTTTTTGTTTTTTCCCTTTGATATTTTTGCATTGTTTCCTGATAATCTTTTCCATTGCAGGGTGCCTTTATGCTCAGGGAGAGCCATAAGAGGCAGCAACGGGAGATTGCCCGTCTGAAGGAGTTTGAGGAGAAGGCAGCCTCGGCCGATGATGCCATGAGCTGTCTGGGGAGGCTGCGGGCAGACTTTGTGGCCTTGCAGAGGAAAGTTGATGAGGCCGATGCGGCCAAGGAAGAGGCACTGGCCAAGCTGGCCGCTGAGAAGAGTGCCCGTGAGGCTGAACGCTTGCGGGCGGAGGAGGCCGAGAGAGCCAAGGCCGCAGCTGAGGCTGCGGCAGTGAAGGCTGCCGATGATGTTGTCGCGAAGTTCCTGGCCGAAGGCTGGAAGGCCGACGAGCGCCTCCCTTGGTGCTATGAGGTCGTGGCGGCCAAGCTTGAAGATTGGGGGCAGAACTCCCCTGCCGGCCAAGAATACTTTGAACGGGAGATGTCCGTGTACTACAATATGGGCCAGCATCGGATGTAGAGGTTTATCTACCGGCGGCTGAGTCGCGCTCTTCGGACCCGAACTATACCCGGGGTTGGGTCAGGCGGAATCTGCGACTTCCTCGGCTGATGAGAGATCCGGAGGAGCAGGTCAACCTTCCTCTGTGCGATAGGCAAGCTCCAATAGAGAGTTCCGGCCTGGGCGAACCAGACTACGAGGAGGATGACTACTTGGACGACACCGCCACTTCCGCCGTCGAGGCCGGCCTGGATCCTGAGATCGAAGTTGGTGCCGAGCTTGTCGCCGAGGAGGACGTTGCGGGCCATGCTGCCGACGAGGCCGCTACAGAGCCATGATCGTCCATAACTGTTTTCAACTTGTAATCAGCCTCTTGTTTTATAATCTTGACTGTAACGGCCGAAGTGCCCACCATGTACTGACTTGTGCTAAATGAAAACATCTTCACGTTCCTTACTGTCTTTGTCGTCTTATTGTCTGCTTGGTTCCCCTGCTGTTTGTTTTCTTTTCAAATTTGTCTAAGTGTTTTGGAATTGGGACTTAGGAAATTCTTCTAAGTATCCGAGCTTCAAGTGGGTGGGTGTTCTCATCGTCTTGGTGCTAAGCCCCCTTTCACTGTTGACAGATGCTTTGGAAAATTTCCT